TCAAATCTGGTGCTAGCGTCATTGCGCACAAGCTTGGCGCAGTGCAAATGGAATCGATTGGAGCAATGGGGTGGATGACTGAAGAATAAGGAAGAGATCATGACCAAGTGCCTGGCCATTTAGGGCGACAATGGGAGCTCGACTGCATCCCTCACTTACGGGTCGACAGAAGTGCTGTGCGAACCGTAAATGGCAGCGATACCGCGGGTACAGTGGGCGTGACCCTCAAGACCACTGTCACATTGCAAGTGTGGCACGAACGACTCGGTACCTTCAAAACGCAGCAATCATCGCGATGTCCAAGCGAACGCTGAGCGATGTAGGTGACCACAATGACAATAGACTAGAAGTTGCTGTGCCGATTCAAAGGAGTGCTTTTTACAAGATCGTCTGTCTTGTGTGCAGTGGCGTCAGCCATGCCCTGCTACGCTCGCGTGGGGCATTTAAAAGACCACTGAGCGCCACCGAATCGAATCATGCAAGATAATCAGAGAAGTTTGATTGAAGAAGATCGATGGTTGCCACGAGTCCCTCAAGGGCGCCAATCAGGATCAAGTATTGTGGCAACGATTGGAACATTTCATTCTTACTTTTGCCCGTTTGACAGCAGATCAATCAAGACATTTAATCATGGGGGGAGGCGCTCCTGAATCTGGTTTTTCGTGTTACACGCGGGGCGAAAAATGCGCAAAATTAACTTAAGTGGATCGAGTTACCACACAACTGCGAGCCATGACGAGAAGCGCAACCACTTCCCCAACGCAAGCGACGACTCTGCGACGAACATTCGGGTAAAATCGTCAACGACGGCCGTCAAAGGTGGGCGCGACACTGTGGAAAAACAGAAAGGAACAGAGCCAGCGCTCAACCCAGAGAATGGGACTGCGGCAGTGCTGCCAGCCGGTGAAATGTTTGGAGTCATGGGATGGGATCTCGAATACCTCGATACGAAGTTCCAATTTCGTCCCCAATGTTACAAAGGTCACAGGTCGTACGCGCAGGTAGAGGGACAAATAAAGTGTGAATTAAATAGGAATGGTTTATGACTTCCTCGGAATGAAATTGAATAATATGGACCAGATTACTCTTGGATATGGAATCTTCGGATGTCTCTTGGGATACGCAGGGCTGGGTACTTGAAATCGTCGGACCAACCTCCATCAGGCTTTGTCGACACATGACTCACCTTCCAACACTCCCCTTGAGGCACGTTCATCCCAGTCTTCTCGAGGAACCTCACAACGGCGCTTTGTGCTGATTTCGGTCAATACTACTGCAAGCATCGCCTTGGTTTCGAAATACACGGACTTGATTGCGTTCTTCTGAACCAGCTCGCGTACGAAGTGATGGCATGCATCAATTGCTTGGGCTTGTCGTTGGTCATTCGATGTTTGCTGAGTTGGATCGCCCCTTGGTCGTCTGCTCAAAAATCGTTGTGCAGTGGTGACCCAAGTTCTTCCAAGACTCCCCTCAAAAATTGCCCTTCTTTTCCAGCGTTGGTTATCGACACATACTCGGCTTCACGCGATGTTGTAGCGTTTGTACTTTGACGAGTGAACCGCCACGATATTAGGCCGTTGTTGAGTATCCAAATTTGACCCGAAACCGATCTTCGATCAGGTCTTGGGGCCCAACTTGCATCACAGTACCATATGAGAGTCATTTTGCCCTCAGAATATGTTACCCCTGTGTGAATCGTATCTTGGAGATACCGTAGCACCCGTTTTTCTCCTTCCCAGTGCCGTGTCGTTGATATGATAGGAGTTCTAAACTTTTTCGAGGTATTGTAGCTCACTCTTGTTGCCTCTGAATTCTAATGAATTTTCCCATCATAAAATGGTGAGAGAATTAGTTGCTGGAGTAATATATTTCATCCAATCACAAAGTTCTTGCGATTCTATGTGGTGATGGAGCTCGGCTGATCATTGAGAGTTCGGCTGATTATTGAGAGCCGACGTTAGTCAAAAAGTCGCCCAAAAAATTGTTCAAGACTTTGCGACTCCATTGTGTGTCGCTGTGATGGACGATGAACGAACAATTTGCGAAGTCCTGTAAGAAAACTGAGACATCCAAAGGAATATAGAAAGTCTGCGATCAAGTTACGTCGGATACACAACAAGTGATCGACAAGTATGACAAGCGTGCAACGATAGTGCATAAGACAGAAGGATTCGAGAAGTGAACATCGAAGCTGGAGTCTACGTGCTATAGTCCCGCGTCGACGAAAGTTTCCATCCAATGCTACTGGTGACGTGGATTGGGACATATCAAATAA